GTTGACATGTGACTCCTGAAGCAGCCTCAAGCCTCACTGGAGTGAGGACGATGTGGACAAAGGCCTGCAGCTAAAGCATCTTAAACTCCCACTAGTTCCCGTGGTGGGTGGAGACAGTAATTAACTTCAGGCTTTGTTAATCCCACATGCTGAAAATTTAAGTGTGTTTATGAAAATGAAAGCTGGACTTCCAAAACAATGGGAGTTGAGGGAAAAAGGAATAAAGATAATGTGATCAATCAAACAGAGGGCCCAAAGGGAGAAAAAAGCAGCATAGAGGAAAAACAAAAACAAAAAAAACAACCGACAACACAAAATAAGATGATAAAAATCAATGAAAACATATCAGTAATCAATAATCAAAATAAAACACCATCAAAAGTTGAAAATTGTAAGATTGGTTTTCATAAAAATCTGGTCACACATACTATTTACCACAAGCACACCTAGGAATGAATGTAAGATGTAGAAAGGATAAAAGGAAAATGAGGGCTTTCCTGGTGGCGCAGTGGTTGAGAGTCCGCCTACCGATGCAGGGGACACGGGTTCATGCCCCGGTCCGGGAAGATCCCACATGCCGCGGAGCGGCTAGGCCCGTGAGCCATGGCCGCTGGGCCTGTGCGTCCGGAGCCTGTGCTCTGCATGGGAGAGGCCACAACAGTGAGAGGCCCGTGTACAGAAAAAAAAAAAGAAGAAAAAAAAAAAAAGGAAAATGAGGGGAAAAGACATATGAGGTCAATACTCACAGAAAAGTGCTGTGCCTAGGCTAATTATTGAAAAAAAAATATAAAATTAAGGCAAAAAGCATAGGGATAAAGAAGGGTACCATGTAATAATAAAAGGAATAATTTATCAGGAAGCTATAATAATCCTAAACCTGTTAGCATTAAAAACAAAGTCTGGAAAGACGTATAAATCCCAAACTGGCAAAATTTCATGCTGAGACTGCTAAAGTGGGATTTTATCCCACTTCTTTTAGTAACTTATAAATCAAGCAAACAGAACATTAGAAGGCCATAGGATATTTGAATAATACAATTAACAAGCTTGATATAATGTATATATATATATATCTGCATTATGCAGATCACCTTCTGACCACAACACAGTAAAAAAAGAAATCAGTAGCTAAGGGTTAGTCCTCCCTCCAAAGAAAACCTAGTATACATTTGAAAATTTAAGTAAGCATATTTTTCAGCAATTCCTAAAGCAAACAATATAATTGATATTAGAAAATCAACAAGATGAAATTAAAGATGCTACTTATCAAGACTTACTGGACATAACTAAAGTCACACTTGGAAATTTATATACTCATTGTCAGAGAAGAGAAAGACTAAAAATTGAGTTGAGTACCCAGCTGAAGAAATAAGAAAAAGAATCTTAACAGCAACCAAAACAGTAGAAAGAAATAAACAAAATAGAAATAGAGATGATAAACAGAATGAAAAGTTGATTCTTTAGAAATAGATTTGTATTCTTAGAGAGATAAAACTTAACAAATCAGACTCAGGATAAAACAGAATCTAAATATACTGACAGATGTTAAATAACTAGAAGCAAAACAACAACAACAACAAACAAACAAAACCCCAAAACCCTACCCACAAAAAGTACACCAGATCCGGACAGTGAACTGAACACTCAGGTGTTCTGCACCTACAATCTGCTCTGGAGGTTGGGGAGGGTCTGCTCTGAAGAAAGTTGGGCGTGAACAGTCTGTAGATGAAGGTTCAGCAAATACACGCTGAGCATCGACTGAGCACCAGGGCCTTGGACACTGCAGTGAACGGGGGGGGGGGGGGGGGGGGGGGGGAGGGAAGACAGATCCTAAACAGTGAGCAACAAGTAAGTGAATTACAGGGCAGGTGGACACTAGGGTGCTGTTGAGGAGAGATCAGAGTGGAGGGCAGAGCAAGAGCATAGACTGGGAGAGAAGCCCGATTGTGCGGCCAGGCCAAGGGGTGAGGGGGAGGGAAGGGTTAGGGTTTTGGTGAGGAAGTGGCCCGAGGAATGTAAAAGGAGGGAGGGATGGCATGGTGAGGGAGGGGTCACAAAGGGCCTCACCAGGAAGGGCCAGGAGTTGGGGGTGGACCACCCACGCCGGGGCGGGGGGGGG